TTTTCTTTTTGAAAAATTTTGTGACTTCGATTTCTTTTAAATATTTCTATGCCCCTCAAGTGAGATATCAATATACTCACTATGAATCTTGCCTCTGTAGAAAATTAAATATAACGTGAGATGTATGCATGTTCGAATAAATCATTTTTGAATATCTAAATGGTATATTTACAGAAGCCTGGTGGGTCTATGGTAGAAATAAATGATACTGCTGCTAAGATAAAACAGTTTAAAGATTCCGTTTTCATTAAAACTACAATAGGTCAATGTTTATATGATGGTATCTCTCAGAAGAATAACGAGAAAGTTTGAATGTTGAATTAGATTACTTTCTGCTTTCATTGCCTCTTGGAAAGAGGTTTTTACAGCTGTTGATGATATTGGAGTACAGGTTTCATGAAAAAGTGCATCACTAGGTACCTTTGTTTTTCCCTTTATTTTAATTTGCCTTTTTCTTTTGTTCTGATTTGTCTTCTTTTTTTTTTTTTTGGTTTTTCTTTTTTTAGGTAATCTTATTTAGTTTTTTCAGGTTTTCAGGTACAATCCATGTCAATCCTCACCGTCCTTAACCAACGTTCTTCATAAGTTTCATCCATTTTTAATTCTCTTCAGAGGCATCTCATAACGAAGCTAAAATAGCTAAATAACTGAACGCGTCCAGGTGTTCGTGATATTGAATAGCGGTAATCTACGAATGATAATGCAAATTATCTACATCTATATTAAAATACGTCGGTAAATCCGTTAGACATTACACCAACGTTAAAAATACAGAAAGTGTAAATAACAACAATAGAAATAATGTCTAACAGTTTAAAGTTTCTCGTTAAAATACTTGGAAATCTTAGTTTTAAAAGTTTCTAAAGAGATGCTTTCAACAATATCTTTCGGAAGTCTGTTCCATATTCTGAGGGTGCGTGGAAAAAAGGAATACAAATATACATTATCTGTGGCTTTTATACTACAAAAATTTTAATGATCACTAGAACGAGTTCTGGCTCCGCAAATTTTAGAGGGGCACAAATAACTATTTTTGTCAATGTCGACGTTGCCATGGCATATTTTATACATTAGACTTAATCTGGCTATTGTTCTCCTTGTTTCGAGGCTGGACCATCCTAGGTCGCTTAACATCTCGGTTACACTGGCTGTAGGTTGATAGTTGTTTAAACAAAACCGTGCTGCTTTCCTTTGCACACGTTCGAGAGATGAAATGTCCTTTTTAAAATAGGGATCGCGGTAGTCAAGATACTAACCTTAATTCAGGAGCAAACCTTTACACAGATGTACTAAAAGGGGCATTTAATACAGGTAGCAAAGGCTGTTGATCGATCAAAAGCGGGCCGGGTGATACACCAGTCGAGGAAAGACGTCAAAATTTTGGCGCCAATTTAAGCAATTTTCAACGGCCACATATTCCTACAAAATTTGGGGACTTAAGGGGACCTTCGCTAATATTGAAAAGTGCCATTATTCAGGCACCTCCAGGTGAAATAATATGCTTAAGTACCCACCAATAATAGCACAACAGGCAAATATCGATCAAGCGTCAAAGTAAAGCGCATAAACAAAGCCACTCAGTGGTGCGTACCACTCATAATAAAGGCGTTTTTTTCCATTTAGAGAAGAGCAAGTTCAAGTACTAAAGTAAACTTAACTGTTACAATAATACACAAAACCGTTCAAATCACCTTCCGTGTTCCTGAATAAGGACAAACAGCCGTTTAAAATTCAGTTGACTTTCTAGCGCGTGCACTCGAATTCGATGCAATGTGACACCTTCTCATCGATAATAACGCGCAAGGGCTAATGGGATACCCGACTAATCCTCCTTTATTTGTACTCGTCTATGGCGATATTTGTACTCTAAGGAGCGTAATTGGATAATAATAGTAAATATTCTTCATCTGATGTATCCCAACGTAATTTACCCTTGGGAAATGCACAAACACACTGGTATGATTGTCCTCAAGAAGTATTTTGATGGCTTCTCCCAAATCTGAACCAGCACTTTCCAGAGCTTTTTAACTCGCTCCTGCTTTAAAGAAAGTACCGTCTGAAAAAAGTTGATCTCAACTGGAAGACTTTTTCCTTGGGAGTTCGAAAAAACTGCCAATTTGTCCAGTTTGCTTTGTATTAGCGACAAGAGTGCTTTGAAGACCATTTTTACAACTTGCGTGGACAGAAAAACGCCCTCTTGGATATTACGCCAGTTTTGACGTAGCAATAGTCAAACTTTGTTCGGCGCTCTGTCCTTGATGACCTGTTTGAACTTTGTGAAAACAATTTCTAATACTCCTAATAATTAAAATGAGGTGAACTGTTGTTTGGTTCAATGTCAAAATACATACCAAAATTCAAAAGGAAAATGTGAAAGCGTCTACAAGCTATCGGAAAGTGAAATATTAAAGAAAGGTTAGGCGGAAAAAACAACCCGCGAGGACGGCTTGCCAAACCCTGTAAAACTAAAACTTCCAACGAGATAAACAGGCATGTAAGTTTTCCTTCTTGACCTTCGCTACGAACTAAGGGCTATGCTTACCTTTTCCATATTCAACACAAATGTCAGCTATTTATCGTATGATTTTTTCAAATATTTTAATATAGGCGAATAAATTGAGGATCGAAATGGTGGTACACCGTGTGAGGTAAATTTTCTGTCGCCACCCTTGACCAAAGCCAATTTTTAACATCGTGGGCTTTTCCAAGTAGTGTATAAATATATCTTGTCTTTTCTAAGTCTGTTGTGAGTCCACCGATTAAATTTTCTTTACCCCACCGGTCGCATTCTCCTGCAAAAAAGAAGACCAATTTGCCGGCAAATAATCAAGAGAAACACGTTTGCGACAAATGCAAATTATCCTTCGTTAGGCTGGCGCCCATATTTGACTATATCATATCGATTGTACACGATCTACATCTAAATCTACATTAAAATACGTCGGTAAAGTCGTTAGACATCACACCAACGTCAAAAATACAAAAAGTGTAAAATAACAACAATAGAAATATTATCTACCAGTTTAAAGTTTCTCGTTAAAATACTTGGAAATCTTAGTTTTAAAAGTCTCTAAAGAGATGGTGCCAACAATACCTTTCGGAAGTTTGTTCCATATTCTGAGGGTGCGTGGAAAAAAAGGAATAAAAATATACATTCTTTGTGGCTTTTATATTCAAAAATTTGTAATTGACTAGAACGAGTTCTAGTTTCACAAATCATATTTAGAGGGGCACAAATAACTATTTTTGTCTATGTCGACGTTGCCATGGCATAGTTTATACATTAGATTTAATCTGGACATTGTTCTCCTTGTTTCGAGGTTGGACCATCCTAGGTCGCTTAACATCTCGGTTACACTGGCTGTAGGTTGATAGTTGTTTAAACAAAACCGTGCTGCTTTCCTTTGCACACGTTCGAGAGATGAAATGTCCTTTTTAAAATAGGGATCCCAGGCCTCACAACCATACTCAAATTTTGGGCGAACCAGAGTTGTATAAGCAGTTCATTTACCTTCACTGGTCGTGGGCAGTTCCAAAAGTTTCTTTTAACTAAACCAAGAACTTTGCTCGCCTTTCCAGAGATGGACGAAACATGCTGGGACCACTTCAGGTTCTCTGTCAAAGTAACTCCAGGATAGGATTCAGAGTCAACCTTCCCTAGTTCGGATCCACAAAAGACGTATTATGACAAAGACTGGAGAAATAACAGGTGAGAACTCATGCCGACTTCCTGTTAGCCTCACTTGTTTGACGAGAGAGTTGAAAATACTTAGAATTTAAATGAAAAAAAGCAGGGTCTTAATCTCTGCAGTGGGTGCAAAGGAAGAGCAAACTTTGTTTGCCATGGCGATGCAGAGTGTGAAAGAATCATTTTTCCATCATCAAAGAGGCAATATCTTAATTTTGGACTTCTTCCATTTTTATGTTTATTCGCATATCTTTGCATAATTAGTAACAACGTCACCACTTTACCTACAGTCGATCTGTTGAGAATGATTGCATTCACGAATGTATTTGTGCTTTAGATCGCGATACAATAAATGAAAGCTTGAGCCACTGAACTTAGACTCGCGAGAATTCGTTTTATTGTACTCAAAGTGATAACTGCACAGATATGTGAATTTTACAGTTTGCCAATAATGGACGAACTACTCGAATCTGATTATGATTTCTGATATATCAAACTACACAATTGACAGCGAATTTATAACGAAGAAATAGTAATTCTTCTCTAGAAAAAAAATACCCTTGGCAATAGCTGATGGTTAAATGAATAAAAGTAAACGCCCAAAAGATGAGGTGTTTACAATCAAAATACTAACTGATAGCTGATACTGATGTGGAAATCTTATCTTGAGTTAAACGTTAACTTACGCTTTCCTCGCTTAAACTTCCTTGCACGGGGAAGCTAAATTTAGTAACAGAAGAAAAATTTTAGTTTCCTGATGAAGGCCGTGTGATAGGGCCGAAACGTCGATCGTTCGTCAATGATTTTCCAGTATTTGAATTATTTTCTTTTTATCAAGAAAACTTTTAATTTAAGAAAGCGACGGTGCAGCGAGGGAGATCAAAATACATGCACTTCAGTTCAAGTTAGTAGGCCAAACCGGCTCGGTCACAAACTCAGCTGTTGGCCAAAAATATAATACCTGACTGCCTTCCCTTGCTTAAACAGAGAAGAAAAAATAAATAGTTCGGTAAAGCTACCTATATTTCTGATTTTCAATGTCATTCATGTATTTGTAGCCGCTAATGTTTTTTGCTACCTCCAGTGTATAGTGTTCTCACTGCTCTTACATCATAGAAGTGATTTCGCATGAGCCCGTAACGTACGAACCCCACCATTCTACTAAATCACATTAAAAGGCAAAACCCCAAAGTGACCCTTTTTGTTTGTCGTTTGTTTGCTCGTTTGCTAATTTTTTTCTCTTTCCAATATTTGTTATTATTATTATTGTTATTATTATTAGTACTATTATTGGTACTATTATTATGTTATTATTAGTACTATTATCATTTTACTATTTTCATTACTATTGATATCTCTTTGCCTGTTTCTTAGTTGCTGTTTTTTCAACCATCCATACATTTGGCCGTAGTACTGCTGCCATTTACATTTCCCTCCCTCTGGTACTCCTTTTTTCTTGCTACTGCACCAATATATAGCCCATAGCCTTAGTTTTTTTCTTTCCGTGAGTTCCCTTATGTTTGAATGCATTGCCGCAAGTGTTGTCTTGATTGGGATGTCCTCCTGTGCCAAATCCGATTCTAGAATCGCAGCTTTGACAATCATCCTGGTTATTACCTATGATACCAATTCTTGCCTTGGAAAAGTCTATTTTATACTTGGGATCATCATAGGCATCTGCATTGAATCCCTCCTTGTTACAGTTGAGCTGCAAAGAAGCAGAAGGACCTACAAGGCTCCTCCATGTGTCACGTCCCAGTGAGGTGTTACGATATTTCCGGTCAGCGATCATTGAGTACAGAGAGTCGGCCGTCTTATTGATTATTACAAACCTGAGTTTTCGGTCGATCCTCATTCCGAGACAAATCTTGGAGAAGGGCGTGCTCCAGTAGGTCGGTAGCTTGGTTTCTTTTGAATTAAACCCGGTCTTGCCTCCTTCAGGTTGAAACACCTTTTTGTCCTCCCAGTAGGTAGAGTCGAACTCAAAAGTTTTCTAAGAGAGAAAATGCAAAAACCTATTTAGGTCTACCAGCCCGAAAGATTACTCATGAGTTTTATCCCTATTGGTCTTTGCAGGAAGGCGCACTGAACCTATCAAATTACATAACTATGCATCTGTCGTATTCCTAACCAGTTTTCTCATGGAGAGTAATAAGTTGTAAAACAACATTATAAGAAGGCAATAGGCCATTCCCGAACCACCCTTGGCCCCTTTCTCAAAACGAGGCCTGGTCCTCAACAATTCCTTCGAAAATGACTTTAATTTGCTTATGAATAGAAACATATTATCCGACGACTAAAATAATGAGCTCCTTGACTCGCTCTGAAAGGGGGAGGAAGGGAAAAACTGACCTTGTTTCCATCAATTTTCATGACTGGCGTCCATCCTCCATCTCCGCATTCAAAATTTTCCATGTGGCAGAAAATGGGTACTGGTTTAGAGTCAAGGAGCAATGTAATTTCACCACTCGCTCTGGTTCTGTAGAGATAATTTACAGAGTATAATATTGCATGTAGTAATAAATTAAATCTCTTTGCTAATTACCCACATTTTGACATTAACCCTTTAAATCATGTGATGGGTGTTGCCTTCCATATTCATTATTGTTAAAAACCGTTGCAATATACATAGCTAAGTAATCCAAAACACCATTCTTTTCATAGTTTGATTGTCCAGGGGAAGTGCCATCTCTCTTTTTCCATTGATATCTTCTTTTATGTTGTTCTCGTTTTTTAATCGTTGCTTACACAGTTGTAATTTACGCCATCAACTTAAGTAAAAGTGTTATCATTACGATAGTAAATGACTAATATGTTTTCTTTTTTTTTTTTTTTTTTTAACCGGGCTATCTAATAACAAGTACGTAAGAGTATATAACCGTCTCTCTCTTAGAAAACGGACGAGGAAAAGTAACACATAACATTGAAATTATCTGATCTCTGAAAAATGATATCCTTTTGAAACCTTACCAAGAAATCCTTCAAGTTCGCTTTGTTTTTCCCCTTAGTGTTCTCGGGAAAACTTCAGTTTATTCCAACCTTTAGGTGACCATCCACAATTAGATTTTGTCCCCAATATATTTTTTATCGTTAATCTTATTAATATATCTATTTATGTTCAGCTTTTTTTTCCATTTTGCTCATACTTTTCCAATAAAGCCTATTTTTCCCACCTTTCCTTTGACTTACATGTTCTTTTCATAAGCCTCTTTGCAACTGGAAACTGCAAGAACAAAACCATTGAAACGGTCTTACAAGGGTCTCTGTGACTATAATCCACTTGATAATTTGAATACATCAACAAAGTTGAAATGGTAAATTGATCACCGTTGCGATTATAAAAGCTGACGTTTCGAGCGTTAGCCCTTCGTCGGAGGACTTAGAGTTGTAAACATGACAAAATGCACCACTTTGGTTCTTTCAATAATGGATTGTATAACAGACAGTTTCAGTTCCATATGATTGTTGGGCAACCCCTTGATTCAGAACAGGAAGCGTGGTGAAAAATTCCTCTGGATGGAAATTTCAAAAGCCTCCCTCACTCGCTTCATGTTAAACTGCTCTTTAGAATAAATTTCTCCAATGTCTATATTAACTTAACTTCCTGTCAAAAATTAGGGACTTATCATTGTTTATCGTTTGGGAGAGGGGAGGTGGGTTTGAAGGATTTTGGTTTGTCACCGACGGTAGATTTCGCCTGATCCTCTCATTATGCTCTACTGTATTCTTTTGATCCCCCTTGGAAAAACAAGTATAACTTTTGAAATCTTGACAAACATAGCACTGCTATCCCAATAAAACTTCTTCTATGTTTCTTTTTAGTAACTATACTTTTTGAATTATACTTTAAGTATGATATGGAAAAAAATTCGTCTCACGCTACCTTTTCTAGAAAAATCTAACCCTGTTGAGGACGACTGATCCACTTCGATTGCTCCTGAGAAGCATNNNTTAGTTACCCCCCCTTCCCCCTCCCATCTCTAGGGTGATAAATAATGACTGGGACTGGTTCTTTAATTGTTTTCTTTCAGATTACCCGCTGGTATATTGCAATCCTCTCCATAATATCCAGGTCGACAAATGCATTTGTAAGATCCCTGGTTATTTTTGCACTCGTGAGTGGGCTTGCAGTTGTGTCTAGCCTTGGTGCACTCGTCAATATCTGAAAATAAACTCAGAGCTTTAGCACTGTTCAAAATCAATGCGATAATTTCCAGTTCTGTTGACTCATGTCGTACCATTTTTTTAAAAACAACACCACCAATTCCAGCACCAAGCAACACTCAAATGGGAGAGAGAAGGACAAGTTCGTCAATCTTCTTGACGTCTAGGTTTATCTGTTCATGTATAAATTTTGTTATCATACCTTCATTACAATGACGAACCATGAATAACAAAGACGTTTCTTGATTACCTGTTTCGCACCTCGTACCCATGAATCCAGTAGGACACAGACAGCGATATCCTTCATCGGTAAAACCACTTTGACAAGTGGCGTTGTTCTTGCAAGGATTTTCAACACAAGCACTCTAGAACGAATCAAAACCATAAAAGAGAAAATAGACGGTTTCTTTTCGGCTGTTTACAGCGCTAGCTAATTTTTTTAGATATCAACCAACACTATTACGGATTTGCAAGAAAAAAAGTGATGATGTAATGGAACTTGTAGCTAGGCGTTAAGAGTACAAACCTGAAAAGTTTAGTTGAAAAAATGGGAGGTGACGAGATATTGTTCCACTAACTAAATTGCAGTTACCTCAGATGCATGGTGGAAGAAGTTTTTCTCCTCAACCCAATCGCCTTCGTATCCTTCGTGTGTGACATTATTCAATTCACATTTGTACTTTCCATTTCTACCCACTTGTTTCTCAAGATTGATGCTGACACAGCTGGATTCCATATAACACATAGTTTGGCAGAACTCCTGTACCATAACTTGAATAATGCGGATCACATGGTTTTTTAGACGTTTCCCATCAAAAGCTCCTTTAGGACCGAACTTCAAATGACGGCATTGGTCTGCATCAGAGAACTCTTAAGATATGAAGAGTTTCAGTAATGCATTTTAGATGAACAGTGATATAGTATGGATTTTCAAGGATAAGAAGTCTATATACACGGAAATCATCTCGTACAGCCCCTTAATTTTTGTAACAGATTCAATAAAAGTATTATTATCTCTTTTTTAATTTTTTAGTCTCTAGAACCAAAGTTAAGGTTGATTTTGGCACTGGAGACGGATCGATGTTTTCCGCGCACATTGATAAACTTAACAGCGAGAAAAAAAACTCGGATGCGCTTTTTGAGCATGTTGCTTTTTCACGCCATCTTGGACATTTTGGAACATAATTAGTGGAATAGCAGAAACTGCACTGCACACCATCCAAAACTAATTAAATCTTACGGGTAAGGTAAGTTCCATGGAGTTGAAATTGAAGAATATGAAGCATCCTGGTGTAAAAGCAGCTGTTTGGCAGCCATTCCAGACTTAACGATGTACCAGTAAATATTTTTTTTTTTCCGGCAAACTGAATAGTTCCATTTGGTAAAGCGTTCTAACATTTAAAGGTGTTTGCTATGGTCTGTTCTAACACTGATCTTACTACCTCTTTAGGATTTGAAAATTTGAATTGGGTCTAAAGATGGAGAACTCGTTATTGAAAAAGTTTCTAAACTAGCGGGAATCTTTGTGACTGGACAAAAAAAAGTAGGAATTTCATCGTTTTTACTGACAAAATTTTAAAATATTTCCTTTCCGTTCCTTTCCTTTCAAATCGAATTACACAGGTATTGATTGTAGCCGGAAGTATTTTACATCGATCCAGACAGATAGCTACAAACGTCAGTTCCAAAGCCTGCGCACCATTATAGACCCAAACTATTTCAGAGGCAACGGACATAAACATCCAGCATAGTAAGTAAAAAAACAAATGGAAAACAAACACAAATTAAAGTCAGAGGCATAGGTTAAGTCAAAATACTACAACAGGAAAAGCGTTACTGTTGTTAAGACGTTGATATGATTTTCGTTGATACTAACCTTGTGCACGTGATCTGACAACCCTGAATTTCATGAAGCAAATAAAAACAGAATACATGGCCGAATCGTTCAACACTTATATATTCGATTCATTTACTTCAACTTAATACAATTAAAGCTTATTAAACCCTGGCCTGCTTACATGACGATCTATTTTGACGCATATTATCTGGTGCTCTACCAGGTTTAATAAATGTATGTATATTACAATCGGCGTTTCGTAAACATCGCTCTAAATTGTTCGGAGTATTTTTTCTTTTGAAAAATTTTGTGAATTCGATTTCTTGTTGAAAATTCGATTTCTTTTTTAAAATACCTAAGGGCATTTCTATGCTTCTCAATTGAGATATCCTAATACTCATTATGAATATTACCTCTGGAGATGAGCAAATATGATGATTACACGATAAAAATTATTTTTGAATATCTGAACGGTTTATTTATATAAGCCTGGCGGGTTAGGTTCAGTCTACATTAGAAATATATGATACTCCTGCTGAGACGAAACAGTTGCACGATTCCCACGTTTTCATAAAATCAACAATAGGTCACTGGTGACATGATGTTCTCTCAGAGAAGAACTACTTTAGAGTTTCAAATGTGACGTAGATTCTTTTTTTCTTTCTTTTTGTTTTGTTTATGTTCTCTTGGTTTTCTTTTTCTTTTCTTTTTTTTTTTTAAACAATCATATTACAATCATATTAATTCGTAGTATTGTAGCAAGCAGAGGTTTTAATCACCGAGCTAGGTTTATCTTTCGCTCTTTATGTCCTAAAATGAGCTTTATCAACCTAAACAATAATTTACAAAGTAAAATATGAACTCAATAAGGATCGGAGCTAAATAATTGTTTTCTCCTGTTTCCTTTATGTAACACTCGACCTTAGTTCCTATAGCCACGTGCTTCACAGTCCAAAGTTGTATTTTTGCGGAGACGTCGATTTCTGTGGACCATAATCTTGAATTCATTAGCGTTATTCCACACACGAGAAACATGTTTCTGAACTAGCAACATTTCGCCAACAATTGGTTCGCGGTTTAGTTAAAGACTTATATTTAAACAAAGATCTCTTACGTGAGGTAATTACAGCCTCATTTTCAACGAAATGGAAAGAGAGAAACTCTGAGATACGCTTTCTAAACAGTCATTATCAGAAGGTGTTGACTGGCTGCCAAGTTATATCGCTATTATGGGAGCAATGCAACAATTTCAGGACTGCAATCCCCTTTTGTGGTACAGTACTATGGACGGTAAGATGATATTATATTAAATAAGCTGTAGATTGGATGTAAAATGCGAAACAATCGAGTTTGCATGTGAATGTGTAGATTTTGTAATGACTGACGATATCGTCCAATCAGCTCATTTTATCCAACTTTAAAATTTGATTAAATCGCACTGAATCATTTCCCCAAAAAATCCTTTGGAGTTCGAAAAGAACCACACTTCGCCTTCCAAAATCCAGATTTTCAGTCGATTATTTTGTACAGCACATAGTTAAATAGCAAGAAGAAGGTAGGATGAATTCGATTACGTTGTGTAAATAAATGATCAAGAATTGCTCAAATTGCTGTCAAATTATGAATCGATGTTGTTTTCCGAGATTTGGCAGTTTTTATCGGTCCAAGTGTTTTCAATTCGTGGCGCGACGCTCCGAGATTCGTCTGAAATTTTGAGCTTCAAAAGCGGCATTTGTGCGAAATTCAGTTTTTATCGATTTTCTCAAAAATGAATCGATATTCAGTCAAACGAAGTATGCATTGTTTGGATGTATCAACAAAGTTGAAATGGTAAATTGACCACCGTAGCGATTAAAAAAGCTGACGTTTCGAGCGTTAGCCCTTCGTCGGAGCGAATAGAGGAATTGTGGGTTGTGCGTGCTTTTAAAGGTGGAAAATGGAGCTACGTTGTTGCTGGGAACATGGCAACGAGAAAAACAAGAATAAATTAGTGGAATGAAAAGCGTTCGTTGATCCCTGTGGGATTTAGGCTGCCGGTTTGAAAGATGAGCTTTTGTTCGAGATTTTTACGGCTTTCCGTGCTACCTAAGAGTAATGAAAGACCGCAGATTGTCATATGTTGCTTAGAATGATTAGGTAAATTAAAATGCCTAGCAACTGGTTTCGATGTGTCCTTGTCATTCCCTTCCACGTCTCGAAGGTGTTCTCGGAATCGGTCACCTAGTCTTCTGCCTGTTTCGCCGATTTATATCTTTTTGCAATAAGTGCAAGTTATGCAATAGATTACTTAGGCGGAGGTGCACGTGAAGTGATAGGTGATCTTAATGGATCGTTTAGGTCCCAATATTTTATCAGTGTTGTGAATGAAAGGACACGTTTTGCATCGTGCACGAGCGCATTTAAAAGTGCCTGGTTGGTCATTAGTCTGAAAAGAACTTCTGACCAAAAAATTGCCTATGTTTTTGTCGCGTTTGAATGAAATGAGCGGAGGCTGCGAAAAGATAGTGCTTGTCTCTGGATCGTTTTGAAGTAATTTAAAGTTTTTAAGAATGATGGATTTAACTGAGTGGTTGTGAGGGTGAAACGTGAGAGTGAATGGAATGCGGTCGGAATCTTCCTTATGCGACGTTTGTAGTGCTGAATGTCGATCAATAAGTTGGGCGCGGTGGTAACCCGCTTGAACGACAGAAACAGGGTAACCACGTTTATCGAAAAACTGGCACATTGACTCTGATTTGTGGTGGAAATCAGAGTCATCACTACATAAACGACGAAGTCTTAGAAACTGAGAAAAAGGAATGGAATTCTTAACGTGAGATGGATGCGAAGACGAATATAACAAGTAATTATGCGAGTCTGTAGGTTTGTAATACACACTAGTGCATAAACCGTTACCTTCAATTGAAACTTTGA